GCATATGTATGTACATGTCTGTTTGCCATATTAAAATGCAAGAAAATGCTGCATTCAAGGAAAAGCAGGTCAGTTGTTTGTTCCTGTGGAAAGGGCTCACTGAAATGTTGTATATCAGAACTAACAGAAAAAATACATTAAAATATATTTTATGAATATGTTAAAAAATTCATAACATAGAAAAAATAGATGAAGAATACAGAAATCTCAAAAAATATGCCTAACTTTTCTTCTTAAGACTTGTCTTTCCTTGAATTTTGCAAAAATATCATCATCTATGCCTTTCAATATAGTGTTGATTTTCAGATATCTGTCCATTCTCTTCTGAAATATTGGTTAGATTAAAAGCGGAGACCAACAGTGCACAATGGCATACACCTTCAATTCCAACTATTCAGGAAACTGAGGCAGAAGGCTCACAACTTTGATACAAGCCTAGAAAACTTGCTGTAACCCTAACCCAATTTTTTAAAAAAGGTTCTCAACGTATCTTTCCTGTCTCTAAAATGCTTGGTCATTGTTTAAATTTTGTTTTCTTCTGTTGCTATATTCTGTGTTAAACATTAGAACTTTTTTCTAAATCATCAATTCCTCAATGAGTTCAGTTGACTTCTACTTCACTAATCATGTCTTAAACTAAGCCTAGTTGACTTTAACATAAATATTAATTTATATTTAATTTCAATACTTATATTTTCTCCTTTAAACATATTGCTGACTTTTGTTTTATTTTTTCTATATCTCATTTCTTTTTTTACTTTTTAAATGGAAATTTTATCTTTATACATTTAATAGCTAATATATTTACACTAAAATCTTGCTCAAAATAAATAAAACCAAATTCTAAAATATATTCAAATGTCCCATGGAAATTCCAGGAACAGAATAAGTGGAAACATAAATAAAATAACAAACACAGGACAAATAATAAAATAATAGATATAATCTATAAGATACCAATAATTACTTTAATTGTGAGTGCTCTAAATTCATCAATGAGATTAGTCAAAAAAGAGAGAAAAACAACCCAACTACAGGCTACACACAGAAATTCTTTAAAATATAGTGTAATAAATAGATAGAAGCAGAGGGGTAAAAAAGATATACACCATGAAAATATCAATTAGAAATATATACATTAATAGCAAATAAAGTGGATTTCAGAGCAATAAGTCCAAATAAGAACAACAAACTTATAAAGGATGTCTAGTTTGGAAAGGAAGAAGTAAATTTTTAAATTTACATGCAACTTGGGATGGGGATTTAGCTCAGTGGTCCTGATGCCTGCCTTGCAAGCATCAGGTCCCAAATTCGATCCTCAGTACCAAAAAAAAAAAAAAAAAATTTACATGTAACTTCATTTGTCTGTGTAAAAAGTCTGTGGAATCTACAAAAAGTTGCTATCAAAAATAGATTTAGACCAGAGAAACTATTCTGTATTTACACATGTGTGACTTACGTATTTCACTTAGGAGTATACCCTCAAAATGTATCCATTTTCCTATGAATGAATCTACTTTCTCATTCCTTATGGCTGAGTAGAATTCCATTTTATAGAAAAACCACATCTTCTTTATCCAGTTTCCAAATTATGGGCAAATGGGCTGTTTCCAAGTTTTAGCTATTACAAACTGTGCTGTTATAAACATAGGTGTGAATAAACTATAATAGTCCATAAGATCATAATGATATAATAGACAATGTGAAATAGGAAAAAAAGGGGCTAAAGGTGTAGGGAAAGTGGGAAGGGTAGGGGAAAGCTAATAAGGCAAAAGAAAAAAATATGAGAAAAAATGGAAATGAAGTGTTTGTAAAGGGAAAGGGGTGGAGGGGTGAAGGGAGGACAGGGACAAGGGGAAAAAATGAGAACCACAACATGTCATGTAAAGGTACAAGATCCCAATAATGAATGTAACTGTTCCATATACCTAAAATGTACCAATAAACTCAATCAGGAAAAAAAATAGAATACTACAGGACAGGAGGGGAGGAGGAAGAGGTTAAGCAAAAATGAAATCAGGTTGTATATATATTCACTCCCCAAAATGATTGCAAACTTCATGTACTACAACATGTACTATAAAAAGTTAGCAGTATCATATCATTAAAACAGATAAAATTAAATGATATTTATGAGTGGATAAAAATAGATTTAGAAGATTGAGGATATAACAGTGATATTTAAAAATTTACTCTTTTGAATACACACTGATGAAAAATAAGGCACTGAAAATTTAAAATCCTAGTTGCAAAGATATCAATTATATAAAATTCTTACTTGGTGAAAGATATATAAGGGCCTGATAAGCACAACAACAAAACCTTGCAGAGGGAAGTTTTTTTTTTAAAAAAAATAGAATATATTGTGTTCCTGTATCAGAAAACTTGGTATTATTAACCACTTACTTACAAGTCTATTTAAATGTAGGATGACCAACAATTTTATATTTTTTCACTAATTTTTATAAGATAACATAATAGAAAACATAAAAATGACAATTATACCAAATTTATTCAGTACAAGGACTGGTTGAAATGACATCTGCCTGAGTGATGCTATTAACTGATCAAGATGCTAATATTCTTCCAATTTATGTATAGATTCAATATAATTCCAATAAAAATCTTATCAGGCATTTTATAAAATTTGATAAGCTAAAACCAAATTTTATAAAGAAATTTAAAGGGTGTAGAATAGAAAAGATAATATTGATAAACTTTACTGAAGGACTTGGATAATAAAATTCAAAAGACATATGAAGCTACAGTCAACAAGACAGTATGGTACAGGCATCAAGATACATAGAAATAGGCCCACATAGGTGTGGCCAGTCAATCACAACAAAGATACACGTCAGCACCATCAGATCATGCAAAGCCATGGGTGGCACTCATAGTAATTATGCTACATAAAAGGAGCCAAGCAGAGAGTATATTCTGTCTGATTCCCCAACTATAAATTGTTCAAAGTATATGCAAATCTACAATGACAAAAGTGGATTTATAATTGACAGTGGATGGGTAGAAAAAGATTGACAAGAATTGAAAAGCTTTTTTGGAGGGTAAGTATATTCATTTTCTTAATTTGAAGGATAATTTCTTGGGAAAATGTGTATGTCAAATTTATCTAAAATTATGCTGCTTATATGTGTTGTTTATTGTGTCAACTATACCCTAATAAAGCCATTAAATTTTTGATAAATAAAGAGATAGTTCATAATCAGTGATTTAATTTGGTAAAAAAGTCCTATATTTGAAAGTAGGTCTGAGGCCTCTTGGAGCTACTTGCTCTGGAAATGCCATCTGGCCAGACTAATAAAGTTCTGTCTCCCAACTAAAAAAACAATAACAACAAAAAAGAAAGTAGGTCTGAGCTAGAATGTGTACGTATTTACTATCCACAGATAACATTTTAAGAAAATGACTCCAAACCCTGGTTCTGTCTTTTGATATTACAGAATGGAAAAAGGTCCATTGTTCTTTTTTTCATACTTAATATTCTCCAAAACCCTGAATTCATTGAAAATAAAGAAAAATTCTTCCATATTTAGTGATCATGAACTAAATTCAGTCTAATTTATAGAAAATTGAAATACCAAAGAAAAAATTAATTTTCGGTTTTCATAAAGCAGTTTAATTTTCATGTGGTATCAAAAGTTTGATATTTACTTTGAAAGCATTATTAGTCTTCTTTAATGCTTTGTTTAAATACTCCGGAGATTAATAAAAATGTTAATGTGTCACTAGCAAATGTGAACTTTGTTTCTTCCCTACTACTGGGAAGACAAGCCCCAAGGGAAATATTTGCTCATAACCATCTCAGGTCCAGAGAGATTCGAATAAATTTTCCTTTAGCAATAAAAAATTAAACATGTGTAGGATTACTTTTCTTGCTCTGCTTGGTTGGCTTTAAAATTGTTATTCTTCAATATTTCCTAAGTTCTTATGCATATTCAACTCCACTGTTTTTCCTGGATCTGAAAGATTCAGAACTGTTAGTATTTGACAATAAATTTATTTGGTAATTGTGTGTGCATGTATATGACTGTGTTCATATACATCTAATAAATAAAACTAAAAGTAAAATTACATCTGACACCAGCATCATTTTCCCTGGAAATAATATTAAGGTAAGTCACAGTGTTCTGCCTTTCTTTGATTAGATATTGTAGTTATAATTAAAATTTAGGATATTGTTGAAAATCCTTACTATGTATTCCAATAGAGCTATTGTTTTGTACATGACAGATAAGACATCAGGGTATAGTGTCTGCTTCAAGTCAGAGTGCAATGCATCGAAATAATGTCTTCTTTCACTTCTGCCATATCAATACTGCTCTCTAACTCTTCATACTCTTTCCCATTACCAGTCCCCTCATATTAATACCCCTCATTTGTATTAAACTTTGAAGTTCACAGAATATTCTCAGATGCATTAAATAATATATCACAATGCATAGTCACTCAAAATTTCCTTTCACTAAAAAGACACTAACATTAACCTACTTATCCAATGTCTCTCAGTAAGAAATTTTTCAATCTGTGAATAAAATCTGAAACTTCTATCTTCTAGCCCAACTCATATTTAAAGCATAAAATTGTGTCTCTCCCTACTTTATGTTTTTGCAGAAGTTAATTCAGAGGCATCCTTAAGTGTAGCCTTGAAAATGAAAGGAAGATCCCTGGCATTGTCTCTGACTTATTAATTCCAGGTCATTTTTATGCCTGTTCCTTGCTCCTCTGTTTATAATCATGGTATGAGAAAACTATTCTATGACATTCATGAAATCAGATGTTTCCAACAAAAATTATTCCCAACAAAAACACTACTTCTCCAAACACCCATACTTCTCACCCAGGTGTCCTTTTGTATTAGGAAGTATTAAAGAATCTTCTTATCTAATATCTTGTTAAGCAGAAAATGGTCAAATCAGGTTAACTGCATGATCCACACAGGAATGTATATTTAATATTTATGAGAAGTATATCATAGTGGGATCATGGTACTTAATTCAAAGTTGACTTTAATTGGAGGACTCATTATTTAAATCTGTCTAAGGGAAGATAAATGTGAAGAATGTTAAAGCAAAGCAAAGACAAATATATGTAGGAAAATATGAGACAATTTTGTATATCTCTAGTTTGTTAATACTTGTACATTAAAGAACACTGAGTCAAAAAGTACACAGAAGTCATTTTGGTGGTAGAAATTAAAGAGAGAAAAGAGAACAAAAATATTCAGGATCTCCACCAGGTCCCAGATTTGGTGCTAGATACTTCTGATTTATGATGGCTGATGCTCAGTTCATGGATCATTCTTCATACACAACACTGAGGAATAATTTAAGAAGATAAAGAAGTAAAAGGGACCAGAAAAAAGAAAGGACAAAAAGCTCTAAAATTCCCTACCATCCAGTATAATGAGTGGTAATAATGTTACTAATGCCAACAATATTGATGACCTTCCTTGTGCCACCACTGTGGTGAAGTCTTTGCACATCTTTTACTTTGAAGATCTCATCTAGTCTCCCTTTCTTAAAAACTGTGTACCTGATGACTCAGATAATCATCCTAGCTAGACATTTATCCTAAATCCCAGACTCATACATCCTATTTTTCCATTCAATATATCTATTGGCCATAAAACACACTTACTATGTGCAAAACATAAAAAAGTTCTTCCCAAACCTGGCCTTACTATCGTCACTCACCCATATGAAATTCACTTCCTTGATTCCAAAAATGCTGCATTTCTCAGGCACTGTATTCAACAGGTGCTGTCCAAACAAAATACTCAGACTTCATTTTGCCACCTCTGTCCTTACCAATGTAGCCTGCCCACTTTTCTCAACTGAAGTACATTCTGTTTATGTGGCTCTATGAATATGCTTCTGTTTAACTTCTTCATTAATATTTCTGACAGAATAACCTTGTCCTGAGTGATCCTTCTAAAAATATATGTCCAAATACATAACACTCTACATACTGCAGACTGTCCAACAGTGTCTCCTCACACTACAAATATCTCAGTTTTTCATCAACACATGACCAGCATCTAGTTCCACCTATTACTACCACTACTATCGTTTTGTCTTGTCCTCTGTTCCTGGATGTCCCTTAAAGATGCCAGACTCTCTCTCTCCCTTTAAACTTTATATTCCTCTGTCATCTGAAATGATCTTTCATCCAGATACTCCACTGCTTCCTCTTTTACTGCAGTCAGTACTCAGCTCAAACGTCAGGTCTTCAGAAAGTCATCCCTAATTGCTAACCTGTGCCCTTCATATTGATTTATTTCTTTCAAAATAGTTCTCACTGATGGACTCCAAATTCCCTTTTTGTTTATTGATCTTTTCCACTAGAATGATGACTTTAAGAGAGTAAAAATTTGTCTCGTTCAGTATTGTACTTTCAGGACAGAGAAAACTCTCAATAGAATAATGGGAGAATAAAAAATAGCACCGGTGTAATAGCTACCTGTGATAGAAGATGTTGTGCTTTTAGGTGTGAAAAAACTGCAGTTTATACAGGAGCAGTAACCTCTTCAGGGTCTCACAGTTGTTAGGTACCTTACCTGAAAATGCATTTAGTTTTGTTTCCCTTTAAACCCTGAGGTCTTTATCACCTCATGATGACTAAAGCAAAAAAGAAATTATAAGATATATGCTATTTAAAAGTTGAAAGTGGCTTTTGGTGAAAGAAGAAGTCAAAAGGAAAAGAAATTCCATGGACTCAGATAATTTACTAGGAGAGTAAGACTTTGGAAATAGCCCTATGGTCTGGGCTCTACCATGTTTCATCACATTCCTTTTAACTACAGGTTTATTTTCTTATAGAAAGAGTTGCTTGTTCACTTCCTTTGTAGTCATTTGAAAATAAGCTTATATGTAGATATTCAGGGTCACGTTTTTCACAGGACCTTCTGTGTATTTAAGTGTGCATAGGTGTATTTTCCAATTCTGTTTTTTCTTTCATGAGGCCATTGAAGGGACAAGAATACCACTTCAAAGTAAGGCCAAAATGGTTTCATTCATTATCAAAGTGTACAAAAGACTACCCCAGAATTCTCTAACCAACTAAAGGAAGAAAATATTAAAGAAAATTATTTAGAAGTGAAATTATGAAGGGCCAGGGATTTAGCTCAGTGGTTCTGCTGCTTTCCTCACAAGTGCAAGGTCCGGAGTTCAATCCCTGTCACAAAAACAAAAACAAAAACAAAAAAAAAGGAAAATTATGAGTAACATAGTAATTAGAGATCTGCAGAAATTACCACAATTTTCAGGGTTTTGGGGAAATGTTGGTTTAAAGGAAACACTGGTTGGTGTCTTAAAAAATTGGTAAGTCCTGGCTTTAGCAATTACTAGAAAATCTTGAAAACTTTTCATAAACTCAGTTGTAAAATTGTGAAAAAATATTACCTCCAAGCTTTGTGACTTAGAGGAAATAATGTTTCTTAGTCCTTCTCTATAATGCAGAAAACAACTCTTTCATAGGTATTATGAAAATTAAGGACACCATAGATACAATGCTTTTTATACTGTGCCATTTATTTTTCTTTCTTCTCAGTTTCCTTCAGTACATGACAGCAGTTTCCTTCCAGCATCCTAGCATTACTTTCCTTCTTCCCCTTCCAACATGACTCCATGCCCCTCAGGTCCATATGATAACAGAGTAGAAGAAGGAAAGGCAGACTCAAGACCAGAAACTCTCAGTGGGGTGTAGAAATCCTGGATGTGGGCAAAGCCCTTTGTGATTGCAGTCAGGGTCTCAATAAGCTCAATAAATACACTGAAGCCAGAGGGAAGATTTAAGGTCAGCAAGGAAGGAGTTGAATTCCAGGACATCAGAGAAAAGTATAGATTGTTGCACACAGAAAGCCAATTAAAGAAGAGTAACTCTGGGCAAAATTATCTGAAGATGATCAAGTAACATAAAGGTCATTTCTCTTTTGTAGGTAAAACTGAACTTGGATTTGTGAAAGAAAAATGAGTTTCAATTCTAAATGTGAGTAAAAACAAAAACTAAATGAAGTATTACCACCTTGCTAAACAGATTTTATTCTGTTGATTTTATACTCTGAAATTCTGAGTAAGTTGAAAATTATGTCATTCTTCAGATCTCAAGACACTAAATCCTACTGGATGACAATGTTTGTCTAATGAGATGCTTTCACTTCATCCACTTATCACACAACTAGGAGAGGTATGGACACCGGAAATCATTCATCAGTAACTGCATTTGTCCTTGAGGCATTAACAAACCACCCTGGGCTCCAGCTTCCGCTCTTCTTCCTGTTCCTACTGATCTATGTAGTCTCCATTATGGGAAACTTGGGTCTTCTCTTTTTAATCAGGGTCAGCAATCAGCTTCACACTCCTATGTATTATTTGCTCAGTCACTTATCTTTCATTGATCTCTGCTACTCCTCTGTAATAATCCCCAAGATGTTGGAGAGCTTTGTGTTAGAGAAGAACCCTACATCCTTTCTGGAGTGCATGGCTCAACTCTTTTTGTTCTGCTTCTTCGGTATTGATGACTCTTATATGCTGACAGCCATGGCATATGATCGCTATGTTGCTATCTGCAATCCCTTGCTCTACCATGTCACCATGTCCCACAGAGTCTGTTTGCTGCTAGTCACTGGTGTGTATGCAGTGGGAGTTTTGGGGGCATTCATTCATACCAGCTACATATCCACTCGCTCCTTCTGCGGAACTGTCATCCACCATTACTTCTGCGACATTCTTCCTCTTCTGAATATATCTTGTTTGAGGGACTACACCAAGGAGATTTTTGTTATGATTGTGGTTGGATTTAATGTGTTTGCTTGTGCGATAGCCATATTCATCTCTTATATCTTCATCCTTTCCAGCATTCTGCATATACGCTCAGCTGGTGGCAGGTCCAAAGCCTTCAGTACCTGCAGCTCCCATCTTGCAGCTGTTGGGGTTTTCTATGGTTCCATCACCTTCATGTATTTTAAACCATCCACCAATGACACAACCCAGGAGAAGGTGGCTTCTGTGTTTTATACCACAGTGATTCCCATGCTTAACCCCCTGATCTATAGCCTTAGAAACAAGGAAGTCAAAGAAGCCCTAAAAATAGCTCTGAATGGTAGAATACTCTCCAGGCCTGCATAGAAAATGACTATCAAAAAATGAAATCAATTTTAAACATACATTTATCTTCTATTTTTGTTTGTAAGAGTAACTAGTTTCATATTCAAGGACCATATTAAATTAAAATGTCTGAGTGGTTTAGCTTTGATGACCCATACATCCCCTTTCAGTTGCCTTACTACCACAACCCTGTTGTCTTTCGATCTCCCTAGCCTATTATCTTATTAGTTTAGGGCCACAATATATCATATTAACCACAAAGCAAACAAAACTTAGAAGTAAACTGTAAAAAAGGTGACCATGTTTTTGTTTTAAATATAAAAGACAGAAAAAGATGGAAGAATAATTCTACATTAATGTATACTATAAGAAAATGACAACTGTCATACTACATCTGAGATTTAAAAAACCAAATATTTATAATAAATGTCTATAAAAGATCTATTAAACATCTGTAAAACATCTATAAAACATCTATTAAAATCTATAATAAAAATTATTGGAGCAATTGGTAACATTTAAATGTGGATTACATATTTAGTTATATTGAATTATACAATCACATTAATGTCAAATTTCCTGAGTATGAGAGCTGTACTGTGATTACATAGGAAACTGTCTCTATTCTTAGGTGCTGCAGAAATATTTACAGGTGAATTACATGTAATCATTTATCAAATGACACAGAATGTAAGTATGTAAGAATGTGTGTGAGTGTGTGTGTGTGTGTGTGCCCACATGTGTGTGTAAAATGTGACCTGGAGAAAGAGAACACTGAAATCAATGTGGCAAAATATTAACTCATGAATCTAGATGAGGAATATGCAATTATATTCTTTCTTCTAGGTTATGCATTGTTCAAAATGAGAAACACAGAAAATAATCACCCTATCTGCTCTTTAACCAATAAAACATGGTAGGATATAAATGGAAGCAGGAAGATCAATTAGCAGCCTATTACATGAATGAATCAATCAAAAGTAATGTCAACCAGGATGGATTAGAAAAGGCAGGGGGAGAATTCTGGATATATCTTGAGGATCAAGCCTTGATGTGTAATGATGGTTTGGATAGGTATTGTAAAAATAAAAAATAATAAAGAATGTGATAAGAGAGTAGTCCAATATTTTGGCCCCAGTAACTAGAAGGATAGGGTTGAAATTTCCGAACCCTAGAAAATTGTGGGAGGAACCAGTTTGGACAAGGATATATTTAATCTACATACAATGGTCATCTCTTCTTTACTAAAAGTCTCTTTGATGCACAACAGATGTTGTAATTTTATTTACATACCAGAATACATCACTGAAAAAATATTTGTCCAAAAATAGAGCAAAAAGATTTTAGATTTCAATAAGAAATCAAATACCACTAAGGAAACTAAAAAAAAAAAAAGTGAATGTATCATAGCTGAGGACAATCCCAATTGTACTCATATTCACGTATTTCTGAATGTTCAGTAGTTTTCATAGTGAACAAAATGCCCTTCTACTGAAATTAGATTGAGACAACTAACTTGAAAAATCAAAGGATAGGCCAGTATTGCAAACAGCACAAGAAATTAAGTCAAAATAATATGTTCTCCTTCTAGGATGTTGGTTCTTTACCCTGAAATGTGTCAGAAGAAAATCATTTCGCTGGGTAGGAAGTTATAGGGAGTGGGAGTGGGGACATTAGCATAGACTTCTGCAGTAAGTCTACAGTCTCCTGTGAGAGACACTACAACACACTCTGATAAAGAGTAAAGAAAGAAATGAGACTTAGGAGAACTGGGTCTTGGGGTTGATCAGTGCCACTCTGAGCAGAAAGATAGAGGGCACCAAGAACACCAGAAGGTAAAAAAGTATGCTTTGAAGACATTTAGTGGCACAATGTGAAGCGTCTAGAATCATCTGGCTGAAAGTATCGGGCTAATATGCAGGCTGGAATATCTGATATACAGGCAGGGGTAGGTGATAAGCAGGAAGGGATAGCTGATATGCAAACAGGGATGTAAAGAGGGAAAGCAAATGGGAAGGGGAGGAGGGAGTGAAGGGAGGGTATGGAAAAAGGGAAAAAATAAGAACCAAGACCTGTCATGTAAAGGTACAAGATCCCAATGATGAATGTAACTGTACTGTATACCTAAAATGTACAAATAAATTCAATATAAGAAAAAAACACATGGAAAGCATCGCTTGTCTTTCTTGGAGAAATCAAATGGTGCTGAGACTGAACTGCAATTAACAAGAGTCTGCTAATACTGGGCAGAGATGTCTGCTACAGGAAGCCTGGATAAATTTACCCCAAAAGAGTTCTATAAAATTTGACAGATTTTTATATATCTTTGGCATACAGTTTCTTTCAGTTCCACAAGTTCTCTTCTTGCTTTCATTTTTCTAGAAAAAAATAAAGTTTTCTGGTATATGAATTCATAGATGAATATACACTTCATCATAGCACTTATTACAAGTGCAGTTTGGCACTTAATTCTGACAATAGCTGGATAATATCTGTCTGCCCTCATAGAATGCAAGAACTGTGACAGCAGTGGTCATGTCTGTCTTATATGCCTTTTTTTTTTTCAGTATTGGTTCTGTTCCAAAGCAAGCAATAAAACTGACTTAGAAAATAATTTTCCTACATGCCAATTAAGAGATAAGAGCAAATAAAAAGCCTAAGTTACCATACATTCATCTTAAGGCTGAAAAGGAGTACCTTTAACAACTGAAACATACTGGTTCAAAACACACCATGCCCACACTTTCACAAGCAGATTGGGAGAGGAGGTCAAATAGTACGTTTTTGCCAAATATTCATTTTATTCAAACTGGCACGAAGGACTGCAACTGCTGCAGGCAGTTTCCCCAGCTATCGCATGAGTGAGTAAGGTCATCAGAGTTTTCAAGAATAACAGACTGTAAGTAGGTAGTTTAACCATAAAACAGATCTCCTAGAATACTGTCACACATGGAGGGTTGTGACCCCTTCAGACTCATGAAAATAGCAACACAGACAAGGTTTTCAATGCACAAATAAAATGTAGTAACTTCTTTAGTACCTGCAGAACAGTTCCCAAAGCCCTGCATGTGAACATCTCAAAATAATTTGAGCAGGTTTTCCATAAGATAGCCTAGACCTCACATCATCCTGAGGCTTGGGATCTGAGCATCGCCTCTTGGACCTATATAAAGAAGTTTTTAAGGGTTTCCTAAAGACTTAGATAGCATAAACAGAGAGATGAGCCTGGAAAAGCTTGCAATCCTAACTTTAAATATTTTTGCTTTTACCCTCTTTTTTTCTCTTTATTGGTCCAAGCTGGACTTACAGAGCCAGTTTTTCCCTTACTCCTCACTTTTTCTTACTTTATTTTTTAAAATTAATTTTATTGATACACTTTAGTTATATAATATGCTGACATTCATTATTGGGAATTTGTACCTTTACATAATATATATCTTAGTTCTACATATTTTTATATTTTTGCTTTTACCCTCTTTTTTCTCTTTATTGGTCCAAGCAGGACTTACAGAGCCAGTTTTTCCCTTACTCCTCACTTTTTCTTACTTTCTTTTTTAAAATTAATTTTATTGATACACTTTAGTTATATAATATGCTGACATTCATTATTGGGAATTTGTACCTTTACATAATATATATCTTAGTTCTTATTTTTTCTCCATTCACCTTCTCAACGTTCAACCCCTCCACCCCTCTCTATTTACAAAGACTTTTTCCCCCACTTTTTCCTTTTATCACATTTATTCCTTTCCCCTACCCCTCCCACTTCTCCTTTCCCTTTGGATCTTTTCCTATTTTACATTGTCTATTATACATTTTAATCCTTATCTATATTTTCGGTTTCTCATACTAGAGAAAGTACTCAGTATCTACATATGTGTGATCTACTTATTTTACTTAAGAGTGTGGCCTCAGTGTGCACCCATTTATCTATAAATGTCTCTACTTTCTTATTCTTATGGCTAACACTCCATTTTATGAAAAAAATCACATCTTCAAATCCAGTCTACAACTGATGGGCTATTGGGCTGTTTACAAGTTTTAGCTATTAGAAACTGTGCCGCTATGACCAGGGGTGCACATACATTACTATGGTATGATTCTTTTAATTCTTTTGGAAAGATACGCAGCAGGGGAACAGCTAGGTCAAATGGGACTTCTAATCTTAGTTGTTTAACTTATCACCATATTGAGTTCCACAGTGGTTACACCAGTATACACTTCCAGCAGCAGTGGAGTAGGGTTTCTCTTTCCCCAAAGACCCACCACAATTTGTTATTGGTTGATTTCATGATAAAAGACATTCTTTCTGGGGTGAGGTAGGATCTAAGTGCTGTTTTCATCTGCATCTCTTGAATGACCAGTGATGTTGAACATTTTGTCATATGTTTATTTGCTCTTTCTACTTCTTTGTCTGAGAAATGTCTGTTCACTTCAGATGCCCATTTTTGAATTGGGTCTTTTAAGTTTGAGAGGACTGATTATTTTTTATATATTCTAGATAGTAGACTTTGTCTGAGGAACAGCTGGTAAATATTTTTCCTACATGCTTGGCTGTCTCATCATGCTGTTGGTGGTTTTTCTTACTGTGCAGAAGCTTTTTAATAGGAAGAAATCCCACTTTTCGAGTCTTTGTGCTAGTTCACATGTGACGGAGGTTATATTCATGAAATCTTTTCCTACAATAATGCCTTCAAGAGTTCTACCTATCCTCTTTCCAGCCTGGTTACTGTTTCTGTTTTAATATTTAGCATTTTAATCAATTTTTATTTTAATTTAGTTCTTATCTAAATGTCCTGTAGAATTTAGCAGTGAAGCCATCAGAACCCAGGCTTTTCTTGGTTGGTAAATTTTTTATTATTTTTTCACTTTTGCTGATTAATATTGGATTATTAAGAATTTTTAGATCTTCTTTGTTCAGCTTTGGTAATTCATAAGTATCTAGATATTTGCCCATTTCTTCTGTTTTCCATTTTATTGGAGTATAGGTTCTCAAAGGAGGTATTGATGATCCTCTGATT